TCTCTCTCTCTCTCTCTCTCTTCCTCTCTTTCTTTCTTTTTTGAGGAAGTATTAGCTGTAAGGTCAGTGGCATTACTGGCTGCATTCTTGCTGGGTTATCAAAGAAGTCACCTTGGGTATTTTTCGAGTCACCTTTGTTGAGGTTACTTTATCAGCTGAGCGGCCCTGTGATCTAAGAGAGCCTTGACCCTGTTCTTTTTTACATAGCCACCGAGACCGCCCAGCAGCTGAAGAGAAGCGCCGGGGTGCCATTCCATGCCAAGGGCCGGGGGCTGCTTCGCAAGATGGACACTACAAGTAAGACTCTGTGTGCTCTCAGGCCAGTGCTCTTCGTGCTTGCCAGGCAGGGTGGTTTGACTTTTCCTCACCAGAAAAACCACTCAGACATTAGTCCTGACAGCCAAGACCCACTGGCCCTGCAGCTAGTAGCTAAGTCTGAGGACAAGGGAGGCCTACGGCTTACCATCCTGCCGTTATCACTGCAGGGCGTGGTTCTTCCCCTGATGTGGCTTTTGCTGTAGCGTATGCTCCACCTTGCTTCCCATGCCCCTGAGGACAGGCACTGCACAAACTTTTCTTTAAGGAGGAATAGTTTGACCATCACTCTCCGTCCACCTCTGACCCAGCTTGTAGCACAAGGCATCCCAAGTGATGATAGATGTCTATAGGTACACCTTAGCACAGAACTCAGGTGCTGAGACACGAGGACAAGATGAAGTAGGGACAGTTCCTTCAGTGGGTGGCCCTCCAGCACTGAGAGACGTGTAAGAAAAGTAGAAAGTCAGTATTCTGAGACTTGTTAAGGTCACACAGCTGAAGATAATATGCCTTTGTCCTTAGCAAGAATGTCAGTTGGTGTGTCTCCCTCTGTTGGTCAGAGTTGGTTCGCCATCTGGATAGCTCCTGTCCTACAAGGTTTGGAGCTCACTGGTGTCTTAGCCAACGGTCAGCTTCCACTGCTCAGCCTCCCCAGAAAGGCTATGAGTCATGCACATCCAGAGTATCAAGCCTGGGTCTTCCCAACAGACCTTCAGGGATGCTTTTAGGTTTGTGGGTCTGAACCAGTGTCCCATCACTGCATGACACTGGCATACACAGTCCGCGTGGGTTTTTGTGTTTGTGGGTTGTCTTGTATTTTCTTCATTACTTTATTACTGTATGTGGGTGGGTGTTTTGTGTGGGTATATGTCTGCACATGTGTGCTGTGCTGCTGGAGGCCAGAAGAGGGCGTCAGATCCCTGGGACTGGAACTAACAATGGGGCTGGGTATTGAACCTCTGGAAGAATAGCCAGTGCCCGTAACCACTGAGCCTTTGCTCCAGCAGAGTTTGGTTTTGTTGTTTTGTTTTTTCAAGACACGGTTTCTCTATGTAGTCCTGACTGTCCTGGAACTCGCTCTGGGAACCAGGCTGGCCTTGAACTCAGAGATCCACCTGCCTCTGCCTCCTGAGTGCTTCGATTAAACGTGTGCACCACCACCGCTCTGCCCAGCCCTGAGTTCTTTTTAGCACAGAACAAAATGTACAAAGTGCAAAATGTGATATGAGAGACTAATTTGTATGGGGCTCCCTGAGGCAGAGGCAGCCTTGCTCAGCCCACCCTGTGCTCAGAAGCTGCTGTTATCACTGACATCAGTCTTTTCTGTAGCCCCTCTCAAAGGCATCCCGAAGCAAGCCCCCTTCAGAAGTCCCACAACACCCAGCGTCTTCAGCCCCTCTGGGAACCGGACTCCAATACCACCTTCAAGGACGCCACTGCAGAAAGAAAGGGGTGTAAAGGTGGGAAACCCCTCTTCATGTCCTGGCAAGACCAAGCCTTGATTTTTGCTCTATAATTAAATATGGAATGTGTTTATTTTGCCAGCTACTGGATATTTCTGAGCTGAATACCGTTGGTGCTGGCCGAGAGGCAAAGAGGAGGAGGAAGACTTTAGGTGTGTATGGAGCATCTCAAGTCTGGAGGGAGGTTGGAGGCATTGCAGCCTGGCGTGCTGGTGGTTGGTTCTGCCTGTGTGTGTCTAGGTGCTTTGGGGTTTCCTTCCGGGTCCAGTATTTCTGAGTGCTTTATATTAACACAGTGGTAATGGGACTTTTCCCCGGAGTCTTTATCTGGGGGAGGGAAGGGAGTGACTTTTGAGACATGGCTTATATACTGCTGTCCAAGCTGGCCTCAAACTTGTAGCTTTCCGAGTGTTAGGATTACAGGCTATAATGCCTGGCCCAAGGAATCACTTATGCTTTGCCCAGAGACCGGAAGACACAATGCTGCTTTGCATTTGACCTACTCAGAGGACACTTGTGACCTCTGAACTGGAGCTGGGTCAGAGAGACACTAACCAAGGCTCTTTATTGACAGACACAGAGGTGGTGGAAAAGCCCACCAAGGAAGAGACTGTTGTTGAAAATGCCACTCCTGACTATGCTGCTGGCCTGGTGTCCACGCAGGTAGGACTTCCATGCAGTGCAACCATGGGCATGCATGCTACAGAGCACTTTCAACTGTTTCCAGGCCTGACACAGCCAAAATAATGTGCCCCATCTTTTCCTGATTGATAGCCACTAAGATGTGTTCTGTAAAAGTGTGTGTACAGATGTGTATGTATGTAAATGTATGTGAGTGGCAGAGCCTGACTTGGGCATCAACCTTGTGTTTGGAACGAACCTGCTTTATACTGGGATTACTGCCTGGAGTGTCTCCATACCTCTGTACCTCACTTTCCTCTCTGTCCAGTGGGTATGGTTCTTGTTTAAGACCTCAGTGCCCTGAGACCAGGTCTTGTATGTAGGTTGGAAGGGTGAGTCAGCCAGAGCAGCTCTTCCCCAGAGGCTGGCTGTGGAAATAGAAATAGGTTTTCAGAGACATAGGTGCAGAGTTTACATGTGTGGAGGCGGAGTGTGGCCCTGTTGCATGGTGTGATCTGTCTCTGAGCTCCTTGCATTGCTGAACTTTTTCCATGTGTCAGTTTGGGACCATGGGGTGGTAGCCATGGCTTAAGTTTGGAGTCTAGCAGTCTGGAGAAGCCACTGTCCCTGTCCTGGGGATATGTATACCTGCTGTCTTGCTCCATTGATGGGCAGGGGCTGATGCAGGCTGTCCAGCTACCCCAGGGAGGTGTACTGAAACCCTGACCTCTGCCTGAAGTGATCATGGCCTCTGTCTTCCAGAAACTCGGGTCTTTGAATAGCGAGCCAGCACTTCCCTCCACAAGTTACCTGCCCTCCACCCCCAGTGTGGTACCGGCCTCCTCTTACATCCCCAGCTCTGAGACGCCCCCTGGTGAGTAGCCTACAGTCTGCTAAGCCAGTATTCCCTCAGCTCACACAAGGACTTGCCCTGGGGTTAGCGGGATTGAGCCTGTCTATTGGTTAGTGGGTCAAGGGTCAGTTAAGCAGCCCTGCTGAGGCAAAGAGAGTGGTAGGTTTGGGGAAGCTGCTTTCCAGTGCCTTGTCACCAGCACCCAGGTTATGGGAAACTTGTCATAGACCAGGAGCTAGCCAGAGTCCTGGATAACTGAAATCTGTGGACCTAGAAATGCCTGAGGATATAGGTTCTGCCCTGCTGGGTAGTAGTGCACAGGGCTCATGTCCCTGGCTATGCAGGCCTGCAAGGGCTTCTGGTCAGCAGTGATGGGAGCAAGACAGGGCAGGCGGGTATAGGACACAATTGCTGTCATGACCGAGATGGAGCTGAGCCTGCTGCCTCTACAGAAAATGGTGTCTGGGGCAGGCAGCCTGGAGAGCAGTGGGGGATGAGTAGATTAGGGATGTATTCCTTTTCCTGGACAACTCTCCTTAGTAAACCTGCTTTGCCTGCAGCCCCTCCTTCCCGGGAAGCCAGCCGACCGCCGGAGGAGCCCAGTGCCCCAAGCCCTACACTGCCAGCTCAGTTTAAACAAAGGGCGCCTATGTATAACAGTGGCTTGAGCCCAGCTACGCCAACACCTGCAGCACCTACCTCGCCTCTGACACCTACTACTCCCCCAGCTGCCACTCCCACTGCTCAGACACCCCCAGTGGCCATGGTGGCCCCACAGACCCAGGCACCTGCCCCTGTTCAGCAGCAACCCAAGAAGAACCTGTCCCTCACGGTAGGTACCCTGGCAGGTTTCATGACCATTAGGTGGATGGCGTAGCTTTGCCTGTTTGCAGCTGGGGGTGTGTTGGGGTGAGTCTGGCAGGGCCAGTGGGTGGAGGCAGGTGGCTCCAGCAGCCCCATCCTCTCTTTACAGAGAGAACAGATGTTTGCTGCCCAAGAGATGTTCAAGACGGCAAACAAGGTCACTCGGCCAGAGAAGGCCCTCATCCTGGGCTTCATGGCTGGCTCTCGAGGTGCGTCTGTGCTACTAGGCCTGGGAGGTGCCCCCCATGGGGTGGGGGATGGGTTCCTTGGCCCCAGGCACCTGCCCAGCAGTCCCTGCTCCCTACAGAGAACCCATGCCCGGAGCAGGGGGATGTGATCCAGATCAAGCTCAGCGAGCACACAGAGGATCTGCCCAAGGCAGACGGCCAGGGCAGTACCACCATGCTAGTGGACACAGTGTTCGAGATGAACTACGCCACGGGCCAGTGGACACGCTTCAAGAAGTACAAGCCCATGACCAATGTGTCCTAAGTGCCATCTCTGCTGCTGACCTCATCAGGCCAGAAGACAAGTTTTGCTGGCTATGCTGAGTGACCCGAGCAGATGCCCAAGGATGTGCTCCACCCAGCACCTGCCGTGCACAGGCTCCTGGGCCCCAGGCTGGTTTAAGTTTTAGATCATTTCTCTGGGGAGTGTAGACTTTTTTTTTTATTATAATGGGTTAGTTTTTGTGTGATTAAGATACTTTTTTTTTAGATTCAGTATTAATATTTTAATGCTAAACCAAAAAAGTTCATTTTAGTGCCTGTTAAGACTTTTACCTTTATTTTTTTTCTTCTAAAAAACTGCACTAGCTGAGAGGACTTTCTTTGCTTGTGCATGCCCTCCCTCATGAGGCTGAGGGGACCAAAGGTGACACCCGGCAGGCTAGGCTGTGAGGGGGGCTATGACCAGCCTCAGTGCCACTGTCTGCCAGGGATTTGTATATGCTTTTTGTACAGTTGTAAACATTTCAAACCTGTCTCTGGGTACCTATTTTCATTGTAAAATGATATGAGTATTAAAGTTTAGTTTTTCTAAAGAAAGCCCACAGAGCTGTGTTGCAAGCTAGCTTGACTCCCTGCTCTGGGACCAGACCCCTCCCTCTGCAACTGTCAGAACCCCAGGGGAGGAGAGGCAGAGCTGGGAGATCACCAGACTACCTGAAAACAGGTGGGTAATGTCCATGGCAACCTTGGGGTGCTCACTCTGTAGAGTGAGGCCACAGTCACAGGCAGCAACCGGGAAAGTCAAGGCCACAGCTAGAGCACTGAGAAATGGGCCTAAGCCTGCTGCCCAGAATTCGTAGCACCCAGGAAGTTGGTGGATTCAAACACAGTTCCATATAAAAAAAAAAAAAAAGTATAAGAAAAAGGCCTTTAAAGTTTTTTAATAAAAAAATACTCAATACAGTTTTCCAAACACAACTTTTCCACTTTAAATGCTATTTTTCCCCAACTGGTAATTCTCGTCCATATTTCTTATTTCTTCCCCCCTCCCCCCCAAACTTCAAGTTTTTAAGCTTTCACTATCAGACCTGGTGACAGTACCCAGCATTCCTAAAAGGAACCTGACTGTATATTGTATGAAGTTTAGACACCAATAGGCACATTTAAACTTAAATTTAATTTCTGATAGGTCATTTCACATCTCAACAGGATACGGTGACACCATGATACACATGGACACAGCATTTTATTCTACTGACTAACAGTCATCAGCTACACTCATTGTAGATGAAGATATTTGGCAACTGACAGTTGTTTGCATTAACTTTAAAACATTTTTATCTTTAATTCTTGAAAATCAGGTAGCTCTGAAGATGGGCACTTCACACAGTATGCTACAGGTATCACTTGGAAGTCATCACAAAAGCCAACCTGAGTGTGCCTGCCTGGGACCCATGCCTGGGACCCAGAGACTTAGGTACTGGTGCCAGGAAGTTTCTCAGGAATTAGCACCTGGATCCTCGTCACTCTTGGCTAGATGCACTGCCGTATGGGTGCTGCCGTACGGGTGCCTAGGTTTAAATGTTACAGCTCTACATACTCATAGACCAATGCTGGCTTGGACCTGGCTGTGCACCCCTGGGCCGCTGCCACCCTGCAGAGGCACACACACAGATGTGTGCTGACTAGGGAACAGCTGGCTGGTTTTTGGATACTGAAGGTGTCTGAGGAATATGGAATCTGGGCAGGTTCCATTTGGTTTACTTCACATTAAGAAAAAAATTGGAGCTGATGCTCAGAAAGTCACATATCTTTCAGACTCTTGTTATCATCAGAGCACCTGCCACATCCAGAGTCACAGCCCTGGCCCTGTGGCTAGTCCTTCTGTGGGAAAGGCCATCACCCCAGAGGGTTACTTTACTCAGATTTGTATATTGGTCTTCGGTTGGTTTTCAGAGTTAGTGTTATTTACTCATTAATACTTTTTGGGAAGGGGAAATTGTCTAAAAAGTTCACAATATTTCCTTCAGAAAGATCATAAATAGTAATGTAGAACCAAAAATCCCAAGATTTTACTTAACATTAAAGAAGAAAGTTAATCGGTCCCCCAAAGTGTACTGCAAAACCAGTTCTGATGCTCTTAAACAGTAGCCACTCACTGGTGGACAAGGAACAAGATGGACCCCCAGGGGGGCCATGTACGTGTGAGGAGGCTATCTGGCCTATCAGTATGTCAGCCTTCCAGACTTAGGGCATTGGTGAAGGAATTGTATGAGCCAGTCTAGTACTTTTAGAGGACAGGTTGAGCCAGGTTAAGTTTGAAACTGAAAAATGCTCCTGGTCTCACCTGGTCAAATAGATGTCTCCAGAGGTAACTAGGCCTGTGCCTAGGGAAGCCTACAAAGTTGCTTTAACTTTGGGGACCAAAAGGATGGTCACTGGTCAGTACTCATGACGTGCTAGGCTTGTAGGTGGTGTGGCTGATGCTCGACCCTGCCCACTGAGAATGGTCAATCCTGGTCCAGATGAAAAGTGCAGTTCTAGAAGGCAGCAGGAGAGCAGTGGGCAGCACCCTGCGGGCACCTAGGAGAGTTGGAGCTTTTCTGCTTTGTGGCTTTCCTAAAACCACTGCCGTACTGCATGCACCTCCCTCCCAGTGGAAAGCATGAGGTCTCCTTTCTCGGTGTTCAAGCTCTCCAAGGCCAAGACACACTCCTGAGGAGGCAGAAGCAAGCTGGCCAAAGACCAGCTAATGGTCCTTGGGCTGGGAGGGAGGGGCCTTTAAAGAAATCATTTAAATCTCATTAAGGACACAAGTACCATCAGACCTTCCGCCATGAGACCAGGTGGTGCCCTGGTGGAAAGAAATCAGGACAACATAGCTGGAGGCAGACAAGCAGATCGCAATGGAGAGAGCCCATCAGCGAGCATCAGCCTCGGCTCCAGGCTGTGCATCTGGTGTCCCAGGATCCTGTAGTTATACCTCCCTTGCTCACTCAAGAGTTGGTATTTGCCTGACAACTCAAATACATTTTAGCTGGAAACAATTTGTGAAAGTTTTAGCAAAAGTATATTGGGAATAAATGTCAGAAACAGAAAAACCAAGTGAAGAAAATATACAAGGTTTCCCCCAAATGTTGGTCAAAGAAATTGGGCTGAGAAGACATCAGAGAGAAACAGCCAAAACAAAGGCAGCGGCCTGCTCCACAGGCCACACTGCCAGTACTGGTCAAGTCCACAAAAGGAAAACCACGAGAGGAATCTTGAAACACCACAACCACTCAAAGTGGAAACAAAGCACTTTGAGGGAAAAATTCACATTAGTACAAAGAACATAGGCTGTTTCAAAAGAGCAAAATGATGATCAATCCTGATTAGGAGTAGCCCAGGGCCTGAGTCCCAGTCTGTCCTGAGGAGAGGGCAGTACGTGAGTAGAAGCCTGAACCATCAGGATAGAGCTAGGGTAGGAAGTTCTAGTCTCTATTTCCAGGGAAGATAAAAGCATTTCACATGCCAGTTAATCTTTAATCATAACTTTAATCTAAAATAAAAACGGGAGGGCACCTTGATGTCGGGTCTCAGATTCAAGTGTAGCAGTTGACGCTGCGTACGTAGTAAGGCTTGTTTGTCCTGGACCACTGAGTGTGCAGCTGACAAGCATCAGTGCGGACGCCGCAGCCCAGCTGCCGAGGATGGCTCAGCGGTGGGAGTGCTCCCTCCCACCCAGGGAGGCCTATACATGTCAGAGCATAACGAGCTGGGTCCTTGGGGCAAGTGCCGCGCTTGCCTTCCCGTTATAGGCAGGGCTGGCTGCCCCATGCCACCCCTGGATCTGACCAAGCGCTATTTGCCTTCTGTGACCCTTCTCCAACACCGCCTTCTCTTCCTCTTCCCCTTTGACTTGAGTGATTCTGGAAAGGGTTTCTCAGTCTTGGTACTTCTCGCCGATTCTGCCCTCAAGTCATGCTCACAGCAGTAGGATTGCCCATCCTGGGTGGAGCGGAAGGCAGTCCCATCTTGGTGTTCCTTGCAGAATGAGTTGGGGCACAGGTGGCAAAATGAGGTAGAAGGTTTGCCACATACATCACAGTGATGCCAAGGACATTCCCACTTCCCTGCAAAAAAATACACCATCAGCAAAGAGAAGTGGCAGAATCGGCATCAACGTTTTCAGGGCTGAGAGTGATTTTCTTGAGGGGTATGGACATTGAACCCCGAGGGCCTCAAGCATGCGTTCTAGCACTGAGTTAAAATCCACAGGGTATGTTTCCCAGGCTGACCTTGAACTAGCCATCCTCCTGCTTCAGCCTCAAGTTGGTGGGCAAATGGAAATACACCAGCATACCTAACTAAAAAATTTTAAAAATGGCTAGTCAAATACATGCAAATTACCACAACTGCATTTCAGTTGCCAGAGAGAAGCTAGCAGTTGGTGCTCAAAGATCAGGCAGGTCCCGAGTGTTGCAGACTACAGTCTACATGCCTGTCAGCTACAGCACCACACCAGACACCAAGGGCAGCTCACTGCTGCTGTTCCCTAGCAAATTCTACTGATGCCAACAGCTGCCCTCGACTTACCCTTTGTTGATACTGTTTTGAGACAGGGTTTCTCTGTGTAGCCCTGGCTGTCCTAGAACTAACTCACTCTGTAGACCAGGCTGGCCTCAAACTCAAGAGATCCACCTGCCTCTGCTTCCCAAGTGCTGGGATTAAAGGTGTGCATCAGCACACCCAGCTTAGGATTTAGGGGACAGTTTTATGCTTAGACATGAATCTCTAAAGATCTCTGTTAGGGTTGTAGATAATTGTCAAATTCAAATATATATATAAAACCGTTATTGGGTTTCTTGTCTTTGGATCAAGTGTTTACAGTTTTTCTTTTGAAATTCTAACTTTTTGTTCTAATGCTGTGACTACTGTTGAGTATGTAAGAGGAAAAGCCATTTTATTGTCTTCCAGGGAGCCAAATCTGTGGTTCCATCTTAAATAGCACCTGTTAGCTGTGTCATCTCTGGGGACAGTGCCAGGCCAGTCATGGTGAGGCTAATGCAGTGGAACCTATCTTCTTCAATAGATATTGGCACTAAGGGCCACTCAACATTGGGCTTTGGAAGCTACTGCCTGTTCCCATCCTGTGCTCCGGCTGGTTCCCTGGACTGGGGATATTTACCATCTGACCTTCCAATGACTGTGCAACTAGATAAGGCCCAATCAGTTAAGAGAGGCTGAGAAAGAATGGCAGGCAAGCATTGCCATGGGTACTGGGTACCTACCAAAGGGCCGCTTGCCCAAGCCCAGGCAGGACAGGTGGTAGGCCTTGGTGCAGAACTTCCGGTCACACAGCACCAGCTGCCCACCGTCACCACAGCGGAAGCACTCATCCTCTGACTGCCGCTTCCCTTCTCCCTTGGCCCTGCGTCTTCTGGTTTTCTTCTTGGCCTTTTTACCCTTTTCCTCTGAAGAAAGGGATGTAGAGGTCTAGAATAAAGAATTAAGCATGGTTCACTTAAAAGAACATAGACCGGAGCAGTTTTTCAAACAGGCAAACTACAAAGGTGCCCAAAAAGCAAAGTCCAGAGTGACATTCTAGATTCCTG